TCTTGATCGGCTTCGCTGCTGCTGCTGGGCTGCTCGGCTGTTCGGCTTAAGCTTAGACGCTACACTAAAGGTAGAACGTACACCGTAAACTCCAAGTTCTCGCATTTTTGTATAAAAATCCAACAACGACGAGCTGCGCCGCATCACGACACCTTAGGCCCCAATTAAATCACCTATACATCCCGCAGGCACCAGCCATGCGCGCGCGTGTGTGTATATACGTCCGCCGTTGAATACAAGAGGTCGATCCGAGCAGCGCATACAGATTCGCGATTTATTAGCCGAAGATGAAGACAAGCGGTTTAAATTTGTTTGTGATATCTCTTGTTTTGAACAGCTGATATACTCGATGCAGAGTTTTCGTAGCCATCTTGCTCCGTCTCTCGCGCCATTGCCATTTTAAATAACCTGACCAAAGCGTTGTGTCCGTGACGGAGTTCTTGCAATTTTCCAATGATCTGGCATTTAATCGCACAACACTGATCGATTTCGATATCAGTGTTGTCAACGAAATAAATTTGTTTCAGTTATTAAGGTGGTTGTTCCTCCTGAGCTCGGTTGCGAGCGTTGCTGAGGTTTTTGATTTGCACTGGTAATCACCAATCTTTGTAAATTGCGGTTCCGTGAGGTAGTGCTTCATAATCTAATCGGCGAATGGTTTACGAACACTGAAAGTACAACGTCGAAAAATGCAAATTATCTTCGAAGCAATCGAACCATAGTCGCAAAAGAAATATACGCGCCAGATATTCTCATTGAGTCTTGTCGTGAGTTGCGCCCTTAAAAAGTGAAAAATGAACTAGCTCGAGGAAAGTGAAGCTCATGATAAGGCAGATTTTATTTTTTTAAAACAAACTTCTATCATATATTTTTCAAATCCGGCACCTGTAAATGGAAACGGTAATAATTTGCGAAGCAGTTTAACCTAACCTAACCAACATAATTGTAAACACAACAAAAAGACTGCTCACACGGGACAATCCATTCTAGAGCTATGCTCGGTATTACGTAAGCAACTTTGTTTAATACATATATACAGATATAAAGTTTAAATAGTTGGCAACCCTCTGCAAATTATTGCTTCTGGTTAAGAGTGCATTTAAATGCGTTTCGTTTCCTGAATGTGTTGTAATATTTTAGTCGATATATAAGTCCCAAAAATTTGAGCGGATGGCTCAAGCGGTGAAGCTGTCCGTGTGCAGAAGTGGAAAACTTTAGACTGCCATTTACCTGGAGTGGCCAGAAGCGATTCTTGTGCGTACGGTTCAAATCGCAGCTCACAACGTCCGGTTAGCTAAAGTGCCCAGACCAGAAAGGCCACAGACAGCCAATTTATTTGCCACTCGACTCACACATCTGCTCTCTGAGAGCACTCCTCAACAATCCGACATAAGCGAGCAGTGGAACCACATTTCCCGATGATTAAGTACCGCCGCCGAGGAAGTAGTTGGATTTCAGCGAGCCCAAAAGAACAATTGGTGCGATGAGGAATGCCAAGAAGCCGTAGAGAAAAAAGACGCCGCCTATAGGGCCACACTGCGATCGGGCGCAACGCGAGCCATGTGGGACCGTTATAGGGAACTGAAGAAGGAAGCGAGACGTATTTGCCGCAATAAGTACAGAGAGGCCGAAATAAGTGAGTGCGAAGAGCTTGAAATGCTAGCCGACCAGAAAAACGCCCGAAAATTCTACCAGAGGGTTAGGCGACTTACGTGCAAATATGGTTAAATGAACGCATGCCCGACGACTGGAATTTAAGTATGCTCTGCCCAATTCACAAGAAAGGTGACCCCGCCAACTACCGCGGAATCAGCCTTAAGGTCTTATCGAGTATATTGTGCGAAAGACTGAATCCCACCGTCAANCAGAGAGGCCGAAATAAGTGAGTGCGAAGAGCTTGAAATGCTAGCCGACCAGAAAAACGCCCGAAAATTCTACCAGAGGGTTAGGCGACTTATATGCAAATATGGTTAAATGAACGCATGCCCGACGACTGGAATTTAAGTATGCTCTGCCCAATTCACAAGAAAGGCGATCCAGCCATTCACGCCAACTACCGCGGAATCAGCCTTAAGGTCTTATCGAGTATATTGTGCGAAAGACTGAATCCCACCGTCAACGAAATGATTGGACCTTATCAGCGTAGCTTTAGGCCTGGCAAATCCACCATAGATCAGATATTCACAATACGCCAAATCTTGGAAATCGAGAATAGGATCGACACGCACCATCTATTTGTCGATTTCAAAGCCGCTTTCGACAGCACGAAGAGAAGTGCACTTTATGCCGCGATGTCTGAATTTGGTATCCCCGCGAAACTAATACGGTGGTTGAGCAGTACCACCAGCTCCGTCAGAATAGGGAAGGACCTCTCCCAGCTGTTTGATACCAAACGAGGTTTCAGACAAGGTGACTATCTTTCATGTGATTTCTTTAATCTGGTATTCGGGATAATAATAAGAGCCGCAGAACTGAACATCTCAGGAACAATTTACTAAATGAGCATACAATTGTTGGCGTATGCCGACGACTTTGATATTATCGGTAAAAATAAGGGCTACATCTGTTCTGCCTTCTCGGGATTGGATAGAGAAGCAAAGCGAATGAGTCTGGTGGTGAACGATGACAAAACGAAGTATCTCCTGTTATCACACAAACAGTCGGAGCATACGCGTCTGCGAACTCACTTCGTTTATTTGGGAACCAGCATTAACACCGATAATAATGTCAGCATGGAAATCCAACGCAGAATCACTCTTGCCAAAAAGTGCTACTTTGGACTGAGTAGGCAATTGAGAAGTAAAGTCTTCTCTCGTCGTACAAAGACCACATTCTATAAGTCACTCATCATGCCTGTGCTGGTGTATGGCGCGGAGGTATGGACAATGAAAACATCTGATGAAGCGGCTCTTGTAGTTTTTGAGAGAAAGATTCTGCGAAAGATTTAAGAACCTTTATGCTATATCGATGGCGAATACCGCAGACGATTTAACGATGAGCTGTATGAGCTTTACAATGATATAGACGTAGTGCAGCGAATTAAAATTCGGCCATGTCGNTCCAGCCATTCACGCCAACTACCGCGGAATCAGCCTTAAGGTCTTATCGAGTATATTGTGCGAAAGACTGAATCCCACCGTCAACGAAATGATTGGACCTTATCAGCGTAGCTTTAGGCCTGGCAAATCCACCATAGATCAGATATTCACAATACGCCAAATCTTGGAAATCGAGAATAGGATCGACACGCACCATCTATTTGTCGATTTCAAAGCCGCTTTCGACAGCACGAAGAGAAGTGCACTTTATGCCGCGATGTCTGAATTTGGTATCCCCGCGAAACTAATACGGTGGTTGAGCAGTACCACCAGCTCCGTCAGAATAGGGAAGGACCTCTCCCAGCTGTTTGATACCAAACGAGGTTTCAGACAAGGTGACTATCTTTCATGTGATTTCTTTAATCTGGTATTCGGGATAATAATAAGAGCCGCAGAACTGAACATCTCAGGAACAATTTACTAAATGAGCATACAATTGTTGGCGTATGCCGACGACTTTGATATTATCGGTAAAAATAAGGGCTACATCTGTTCTGCCTTCTCGGGATTGGATAGAGAAGCAAAGCGAATGAGTCTGGTGGTGAACGATGACAAAACGAAGTATCTCCTGTTATCACACAAACAGTCGGAGCATACGCGTCTGCGAACTCACTTCGTTTATTTGGGAACCAGCATTAACACCGATAATAATGTCAGCATGGAAATCCAACGCAGAATCACTCTTGCCAAAAAGTGCTACTTTGGACTGAGTAGGCAATTGAGAAGTAAAGTCTTCTCTCGTCGTACAAAGACCACATTCTATAAGTCACTCATCATGCCTGTGCTGGTGTATGGCGCGGAAGCATGGACAATGAAAACATCTGATGAAGCGGCTCTTGTAGTTTTTGAGAGAAAGATTCTGCGAAAGATTTAAGAACCTTTATGCTATATCGATGGCGAATACCGCAGACGATTTAACGATGAGCTGTATGAGCTTTACAATGATATAGACGTAGTGCAGCGAATTAAAATTCGGCCATGTCGTTCGAATGGACAGGAACGCTCCTGTTCTGAAAGTATTCAACGCGTTCCGCGATGCTGGTAACAGAGGAAGGGGAATGCCTCATCTGCGTTGGAAATACCAAGCAGAGAAGGACTTGGCTTTACTTGGAATTTCCAATTGGCGTCAGTTAGCACAGAAGAAAAATGACTGGCGTGCTCTTTCGGACTCGGCCAAAATCGCTTAGGCGGTTACAGCGCCAATAAAGAAGAAGAAGGTGAAGCTGTCTTTCCAAATCGTGCTTCAATCATTCATTTGATGAAGTATTATGGAAGACAGTATGGCGCTTTATTAACCGGATAGTGTGCTTTCAGTTTTTTAAAACCCCATTTTTTTAAATAAATAACTAAATTTGAACAACAACGTGACTATTTTTCGCATGTACGTTAGTTTCCCCCCTTCAGAATGAGATATCATTCATTCAATTTGATAAAATAACAAAGGAGAAATCCCTTGGTAACAAAAAACTACCTTTTAGAAACATCTATATATTTTCCTTTACTTATCCGTCCGAAACGATCGGTAGACGTTTGCTTCACTTTTATCAAAGTGTTTCGTGAAATAAATTACTTGGTTTTGTACGATAATTGCGAATATTAGATTATTTCCCAAAATATAATTTTCAAATAAAACACATCTTCGCAGATAAAGAAAGAACGGCGATAGTAAGTTAAAATTACCTGACCGTGTAGTTGCTGAGAAAGCTGAATATACATAAAAGGTAGGAAAAGTACTGGAAAAAAAACTACTAGGATAACAAAAGCATGAGCTCAAGCAGCGCGTACCGTCTTACTATCGCGTTCCTTATCATAAGAAGATAACAAGATAACACCTGTTACCTATTGACGTTATTTTAATACTGCTGGCTTCTTTGCTGTTCTATAAAATCCGGTAATACTGCATGCATGGCGTACAGTACTAAGGCATCATCATCATGAGCTGCTTCACTTTCTTCGCGATATTCTTGGCACTACTTTTGGGTATGTATTTAAAAGTTCATCTATTATCGCTTAAAATATTTTCTACTGAACTTTGATATTTTTAAATGATTTAATTTCAGCTGTTTCAGCTGAGTCAACGAAAAAGCGTTTTGGTAAATAGACTTTAATTTGTATATGCAAAAAGCAAATAAATAATATTTTAAATTAATAAACTTAATTTTCCAGAATTCAAAGACATGCCACGCATTTGTGAGTAGTTTAATTTCTTAATAAATGTTAACATAATGTTCTAGGATTTTGATTATTTATTAAATAATGTTTTGTCGAATCTTCAGCTAATTACACGCAAGGAAGTGAATGCCCAGCTATAAGTTTTTACAACGACTGCAATCTCTGCGTCTGTCACCCTGAAGGCGTTTCCGCTGTGTGCACAGAGCTGACTTGTTCCGAAGCGGATATCATGCGCATTGGTAATCAATCATATATTCAAGAACACGTTGCTCTAGAAAAAAAAGCTGTAGGTAACATTAACATTGATAAATTCGAATTTCTTTCCAGACAATTACATACGCAACTTGGGGTACTATGCCAACCACTCGCGAGGTGTGGAGCGCAGCTGTTCCTGCTCGGACAGTTGCGTCTGCTCCGGCAGTTCGTTTTGCTCGGGCAGCGCGGTCTGCTCGGGCAGCGCGCAATGCCAGGGCAGCGCTGTTTGCTCGGGCAGTGCGGTCTGCTCGGGCAGCTCACAATGCCAGGGCAGTCCTATTTGTCATGGTAGTCCCGTCTGCTCGGGTAGCGCCGTCTGCTCGGGCAGCGCGCAATGCCAGGGCAGCGCTGTTTGCTCGGGCAGTGCGGTCTGCTCGGGCAGCTCACAATGCCAGGGCAGTCCTATTTGTCATGGTAGTCCCGTCTGCTCGGGTAGCGCCGTCTGCTCGGGCAGCGCTTCTTGCTCAAATTATTTTAGTTGAGTTGCATATCGATAAAGAAATTGTAGTCCTGATTGTGTGACGACTATTAAAATGCGTTCGTATTGCTAATCTGTCTATTTTGTAAGATACAACTGTATAACGTGTTATTGACATTGTATAATAAATAAATATATATCAATATAATCCATCACTTAAGGGGAAATCGTAGGAGCTGTAGGGTCAGGTGGGAAATTCGGAAGTCGAAGCACTTATTTCAAAAATAAAAAAACGCAATCAGGGCCTAAAATATGAGTAGAGCCCCCTAGTCAGGAGCAATATTCTTCAACAAAATACTTTGAGAAAAGTATACTATTTTTAAGCGAATATAATATACATATTACGGGAATTTATAACAGTCCTTATCTTATTACCTTGGAAATTTTTTTCGTCTCGGAATATTTGCCAAATTGAAAACATACTAGCAGACCCGGCGAACTTCGTCCCGCCCAAAATTTTTATATATTTTATTGAAACTTTTTGGTCCAACATTTTCACCAACAATTCACGTTTACGATTTTCATTGGCACATTTGTCTGCTAAGATTAAGGTTTGGTGGTCATTTGCCGCTTTAAATAACCTAAGGAAAGTGTTATATCCGTTCTTGAAATTCTCCAGTTGTGCGGCATTTCATAGCACGGTTATTCGCAAAGCGAAATAAATTTTTTCCTCTTCACTCCCTGGCGGCAACAATGACCCGGTTCTATAGTGAATGTCCTAGAAGCTTTACAGTATAGTAGGTGCCAAATCAAAATGGGTGCGAATCATTGTTCTGTACCTTAAAAGTTTGAACGCATAATAATATTGGAAAATCACATCCATTGGGCCAATTGCAACGCAGGACCGTCGATATACTCAATGGTGCAACAGGTCGATTTAATCTGACCTTCACGGCCCCTTTTCTCACTTGGCTATTTTTAGTAATAGCTCGACTTCAGCACCACTTGGCAGCACGTTTTTGCAATAGTATTGCATACATATTTAAAACATTAGCCAAATCGGATCATAAATAAGATTTTTAGTAATAACTCAACTACAGCGCTAACTGTCGGATTAAATTGTGAAACTAAACCATCCAGAGACCCTCTCAAATACACAAAAAGTTTCGTTAAAATCCGTACAACCATTTAGGAGGATTTCACTCCCAAACACACCTACAGAAGAATAAAAAAATTCATTCAAAAATAGCTAAAGGTCGGTAGGTTTGTAGGCCTCACACCCCTTTTCAAATAGCCCGAATTTTCTCCATGAGTATGGGCTTGATATATACATATCTCCATACGAAGTTCCAGTACTGTACCATGAATACTTTCAGAGATATGCAGTATAAAAATTCGAATGATATGGGAGGTGCCACGCCCCCCTTTCCAAGAGATGCCCTCTTTCTTCATGAGTATGCGATTGATTTCGTATATCTCCATACCAAAAGGGACTTCTCTTTATATAATTAGTATAGATTAGTGCGATTCATAACACGTCGCGAAGTGGTATTTTTGGCGAAATTGCAACTTTGCGAATAAAGTTGTATGCAACTCCAGATTGCAAATGTAAAATTAAAAAAAAAAAATGCCGCACGTAAGTTAAAAGAAAAGTGTTTACAATAATATTTCGAAGTAGCCTTAACTAATATATAAATTTTTTTTCGAAGTATTCGAAGACAGTAAAAAAACATGTGTTTCGCGACATTGACTTTGCAATGATTGCCAGCTCAAATAATATCGCAATGGCGCAATTATGTCGCAAGAAAGTTTCCATACAAAAGTAATCAGCTGTGTCGCAAGTTGGGAAATTTTGCAACAAATGCGACATTTGCAACAACTTTGCGATGTTTCATGAATCCTACTATTATGAAATAGACATCGAAGGCACATGTATGAAGCTTCAAGTACGAGAAAGATAAAGAATGACATAACTGAGCACGTGTTTTTAAAGCTCGGTGAGGTTATTTTCGGTTTAACAGTACTGTAATTTAGAGATGATAAGTTTTAGAATAAAAAAAATTGCGCGTTATACTACAATATCGACAATCAGCTGTATTAACCAGACTCGAAACCTGTTAAAAAATATTAAATTTATAATAACAAAAGCGACAAAATCCAGTATCTTAAAACTAGTCTTTCAAAAAGGCTCAAAACGTCATTTAGAGTGTGTTTCATGATGTCTTTCTTAATTTTTTGTTAATTTTCGAGCAGCAGAAGTCTTACTTATAAATCACAATATTTATCATTGTATATCATGAATCATATTTAGTACTTGTTGTTGTCCATCATTGCATATTTTTTGTATCGATCGCTTCACGAAATATAATTTCTTAATACCTCAATCGATTATTTAAGTACTTATAATTGAAAGCTCTTATCGTCTCGCTCTGCCTCACCAGACATCATCCTCTTATCTTTAGAAAGATAACAACCTGTTGACGGTTTTTTTTTAATACCCGAGCGCACTTGTGCACAAGGGTATTACAACCTTGTTCGCATAACGGTTGTTTGCAACAGCCAAAACGAATCGAGATAGATATAGACAAATGTATACATACATAAATGCTCAGAATGAGAAGAGAAATCGATTAATCCATGTCTGTCCGTGTACAGGATACTCCAGTAAAAATTTGAGATATGTCCACGAAATTTGTTTGGGAATTTTCCCTTTATCCAGGTAGGTTGGGATTGAAAAGGGGCGACATCGCACAGTGGTTATTGCCCCACCTCTCATATAACGGTATTTTCGAAATATGCAAAAACTACGATATTTCCGTAAATACTGGATCCAAATTGTTGAAAGTTGGTATGCGAAGTAGAATTTTGGCATCAAATAAGACAGTTATGAATTTTTTTGAAAATGGGCGTGGCACCGCCTACTTACGATGAAATGCTGTATCTCAGTAGTCCCTTCACCAATCCCCAGCCTTACTGAGAAACCCTTGGAAAATTTTTGAAATCCAAAAAGAACCAAGCCCACCTCCCATATAACGGTAATTTACAGAAATACGAAAACTTCGATAAATTGGTAATTATTTAAGCTAATTTACTCAAAATCAATATATTCAATGATCTCTTAGCAGAAAATGCTACAAAGGGAAATTTTTGGGAAAATGGGCGTGGCACCGCCCACTTACGCTTACATATGTGTATCTCGGTGACCGGTTTATCAATTTCTACCACTCTCGGTAGATTTATCAATCTTGGCTCAAAAGCGATATGTTGACAATTTTTTAAATCGGACTAAAGCTACCGTCACCTACCATATAACGGTAAATTTCAGAAATACGAAAATTCCGATATTTCAAAAACTAAACACGCCAACTTACAACAATCTCTTAACAAGACACAATAGTATTGATTTTTGTAAAATGGGCGTGGCACCACCCACTTATGACTACATACATATCTTATCGACTTATCGATTTCCACCAAACTTGCTCCAATTATTTCAATATCTCATAGCATATTATCGAAACTGTTTGACATCGGGAAAAATACTATTGCTTATCATGCAGTTTACTGAAAGGTGGAAAAACGATATTTAATACGTGCGCTGGGTATATAAAGTTCGGTTTCGCCCCAACTTATACTTCTTTACTTGTTGTTTTTTTTTTTTAATATTTATGGCTTTACTGCTTCTCTATAAAAGCCAAGAACACTGTGCAAACGGCACGCAGTACTGCAGAATCGTCATCATGGGCTCCTTCACTTTCATCCTGACACAGTTGGTGCTAGTTTTAGGTATTTATAAGGTCAAATATTATCTGCTTTAGAAAGTGTTTTACTGTTGTTTGATATTGATTAAACGATCTAATTTCAGCTGTTTCAGCTTCGCCCGCGGATAATACTTTTGGTGAATAGATTTTCTTTGAACAATAAATCGTAGTTCTTTGCTTTATTTTTTGTATTAATTTTCACATACATTTTATTTTACAGATTTCCTAGACATGCTACGCATTTGTAAGTAGTTTCATTTCTTAATAAATGTAAACATAATAATCCTGGAATTTTGATTGCAAAATAACGTTTTGTCGAATTATCAGCTAACTACACGCAAGGAAGTAAATGTCCGGGCAAGATTTTCTACAATGACTGCAATATCTGCATCTCCCGCCCCGACGGCGTATCTGCTACGTGCACAGAGATGCCGTGTTCCGAAAGGAATACCTTGCTCATTGGTAATTAATCCTACTTTCAAGTATATACACCACTTAAGATTTAAATTTATTTCAGATAACTACTTACGCAACATGCGGCTATCGCGTGGTTCGTATCAAGCCTGCTCGTGCTCAGGCACTTGCGTCTGCTCGGGCAGTTCAGTTTGCTCGGGCAGTGCAGTTTGCTCGGGCAGTGCAGTTTGCTCGGGCTGAGATGAGTATTTTGGAAGATTCATGCAATATGTAAAATAAAAAAAAAAATAAATATATATCTAATTAATCTATCCATCGTCTTATATATCTACTCAGCTACTTGCGCAGCTATTTCTAGAGTACATGTGAGAAGCTTATCTTGATTTTATTTCAAACTTTTTTGTGATACCATTTTTCAACTAAATACTCTGAACACCCAGCTGTGCATTCATACATATATACACAAAACTAAAACCAGTAAGGCAGACAGACTTAATTCGAACGTTACTCCATCCATAAAAAATTTAGCGACTCAAGTCGATCAAAACGCGTCGACGAACATATTTCAAAATCCTTTTAAAACAAAGTCAACTCATAACCAAAAACTTCTCTTCAACGGAAACCTCTCCGTCGATTCTTTGTATCCATCCAACCACTCGCACCGCTATCTTTCAACTCGCGACAACAATGCCGTGTCGCTGCGCAAGCGTCATTGCCTGCAGTCGCGCTAATTTAATCGGCGCTAGACGCGCGGCCAGGGTAAAACCGTTGGCCCAGCGGATATCCCCTATACGACGATAGGCGATGTCGTATTACGGATGTGCGTGATTTTATTTTGTCAAAGGGGGGGGAGGGGGTAGCGATCTGTGGAGTGTACGAGATGCGGGATGTTTGCGAGAAACATGATATTGCTACGAGTGTTGTTGGTCGCTACGCAGTGGTGTTACTTTTTACACAATTCTTCACCCAACGATAAAATTTGCCAAGTAATTCTAATCCATTGAACAGCAATGTTGCTTTTCACTATAACAGATTTGGATCGAACATTCTATCTACACTGTCCCTTCAAACTCCCTCAGAGCCAAAATACAAACTCCGACCTAATTTTTATCATCCAACAGACTGTACCCTACTCTCCGCTTGAAAAATACCGTCCGTTTTTTCATCCGATCCACCTCTTTTCCAGCTAACAGCAGAAGCAGCGAGAGGAAGCGCGAGAAGCGACTGAGCAATGAGGCGCACCAGAGATATATATACACAACAGCGTGAGCGAACAATTTGTACAGAAGACACGACAAGAAACTCCCGGCTGAAGCGCTCTAATTGGCTCGGCTCTCTCTCTCCCTCGGCGCTAAAAGCTCAAACAGTCAACGACGTAACGTAGACGTAGGTTGACGCAGACACAATCTACCTTATGGGATTCGCGTGTTAACGAAAACTCACCACCGCATGGCGGTGACGTTGCCGTTTCTTCTCTCTCTCTATCAACAGTAAATTTGATATGCTGCTACGTACGTCAACCTACGTTTACGCTACGTCGTTGACTAACTGCGCTTTAAAGCGTCGCTATGTGCTGCACCTCACGACGCGGAAACACAGACCGAGTAACGCGCGCGCGCCTTGTCGTCGACTAAAAATTGTAATGGACCATGTACACACACGTACACCTACACGAGTATCCTTATCGCGACGAGCGAGCATAACGGATGGAGAGCTGCGGCCGACGCCATTGCGGGAGTTACTGCCATACCTAAACAAAAGCGGCAGCGTTGTCTGGCTGTCAAAAAATTCGCATGCCCATACAATTTGCATGAAGTATACCGAAATAACGCGGCGTCAACACTGAGCGGTTGGCAAATCCAATTTTGGCAGGACGTTAGGAAGTGAAGTTGGCTGCAGAAAACGGAGAAACTGTAATTTTCGTGTTTCACACAAACAAACCTATGCTTATTGTTGGTGTTATTTCTGCATTTGACGTAGCGCTGACGCTTTTGTTATGGCACTTCAAGCGCTGGTTATACTTGCATTGTGCTGCAGAGCATAACATGATTACTGCCACATATCGAATCTGTTTAATGAGCTTTGCATACAAGCGATTATCCTACGAAGCGCATGACAGGGCATGGCAGCGAAGTCTGGATAATTTTGATTTTTCGCTATGTGACATTTTCAAAGAGAGATGCCACTCTCATTGCTCTCATTAGTCTGTTCCAGTACCCATGAGATTTACGGGAATAAAGGTGCTCACACACACCGACGTGTACGCATGCCGTGTCTGTTTGACGTAGCAACATATAAAATTTACTGTTGATAGAGAGAGAGAAGCACGCATAAACGTCGCACGTACACGGTGGTGAGTTTTCATTTNTTTCATGTTTTCATTTACATGACGCTCTCATTAGTTTGATCGTGTCAGCTGACACGTTAATGTACGTTTGTGTCAGTGACACGATCAAACTTTTGAGAGCGCCATGTAAATAAAAGCTCACCACCGTGTACGTGCGACGTTTACGC